CGGTTGTGATAGTCTGATCACCAACTTCCCTTGTGAACAAGCTTGACAAGAGTTGTCACTTGATAACATAATGTGTTTTGTCAACAAGAAATGTCCTTTAGAGTTGGTGATGATCCGACGCATCATGGTGGATCCAGGATGACCCAACCGGTCATGCCAAAGCTTAAAAGTATTTGAGTTAGTGAACTTTTGGTCCACGACATTATTTGCCTCAATTGTCCGTATGGTTGTATTGTACAACCCTGATGAGAGCGCACAAAGCTTCTCCAGTATATGTTTCTGGGTATCACTTGAGGTAATGCAAAGATATTCCATATTTTCCTCATTTTTTGTTTCAACATGGTAGCCATTCAAACGTATATCTTTAAAACTTAACAGATTCCTTATGGAGTTAGATGGATATAAAACATCTTGAATGGATAGTATTGTTCCATTTGGTAACATAACTTGGACTGTTCCTGAGCCTTCAATAAGATCTGCAAGACATGATATGATTGTTACCTTTGCTTTTGTAAGCATCAAATTTTAGAAATACTTTTGATCTCGAAGGATGGTATGAGTAGTCGCACTGTCTGCGAGACAAATATCTTTGCTAGAGTTCTTGTTTTGGGAGCATCCATAATTTATATCAATGCCTTCAAATAAATAAAATAAGCTGAATCAATAAACAATTATTCAATGTAAAGGAAAAGGAAAAACACTGCCATTTTTATTGAATGGAAATGAAAATTAAAAACAGTACTTCAGATAATACAAATGGTACATAAAGAGATCTAGTCTAATTCGGACCCATTAACTTCATTCACTCTTTCAATAACAAAATCAGAAACATCCATATGCGTCATGTCTAACAGATGCGATATTTCCAATGGGCCATTTATGGCTGGTGGATATAATATAACATGATCAATATAATTTGTCTTCACTTTCTTATCCTTAAGTGAAGATTGATAAAGATCAACCATATGCTTCGGCTTAAGGTATGTATGCGCCCAATGTCCCTTTACGCCGCATCTGTTGCAAGCGCCTTCAACATTTCTAGGCACATGGCTTGTCTGAGCTTTCCCTTTATTCCGGGATGCATTTTTGCCGCTCATGGATGAATTGTTCCTTAGACCCAAGCCATATGAATGGGTGTCACGATCTTTTCTATTCCCTTGCCAACAGCCACGCTTACCTCCTCGCCCACATATGTGGATACTGCCATGAGATGAGGTGGCATTCACTTCTTGAGATGCAGCATTCCCTTCATGGAATGGTGTTGAGCCTGTTGGGCGAGATTGGTGATTTTTCAATAAAAGCTCCCACTCAGCCAATAAAAGGCAAGATACTAGTTCTGAGTACTTTGTAAAACTATTATGCCTATATTGCTGCTGCAGGAGCACATTTGAGGCATGAAAGGTACTGAGAGTTTTTTCAAGCATATCCTCCTCAGATATATTTTCACCAGATAACTTCATCAGGGAGGTGATTCTGTGCATTGCTGAGTTGTACGCAGACACTGACTTGAAATCTTGAAATCTCAAGTGTGTCCACTCATATCTGGCTCTCGGGAGGATCACCATCTTCTGGTGATTGTATCTTTTGCACAAAGCTTTCCACATAACCAATGGATCATCGACCGCCACGTATTCGCTTTTCAACACTTCATGAATGTGACGGCGAAGAAAAATCATGGCATTTGCGTTTTTTTCAGGTGATGCATCACTTCCATCTACAATGGTTTTTCCAAGGCTATTGGCACACAGATGGATGTTGGCATCTAGGACCCATGATAGATAGTTGTTCCCAGATATGTCAAGGGCAACAAATTCCAGCTTTGCTAAGTTTGTCATCTTCAAAAGAAAATGAGATGTATCCGAATTTGCAATAATCTTCAGGCTTAATATATTTTTGAACTTTAGGCCAAAATATCTTGCATATTTTACCCGAAACTTCAAGTTCGGGATCTGGGACATTAAGCCATTTCTTAACAGGAACTTCAGGTCCTTTAATTGTTTGAGGAACTTCAGGCCCCCATTATTCATGTATATTAACTGATGATTTCTTTTATAAAAATAAAGTTCTATAAATAAATTTGCTAGTATGAACGATAAACCCGCACCATACTTTAAATAAAAGTAAACGTGCGATAAAGTAAATTGCTTGCTGTATGGACGTTAATTCCGCACTATACTTTAAATAAAAGTAAATGTGCAATAAAGTAAATGTTCTGGTATGAGCACTAATTCTACTCCATACTTTTAAATAAAAAGTAAAGGCAGTTGTGTGGACGATAAACCCACGCCACACTTTTAAATAAATACTGTTGTATGAGTAATAAACCTACACCATGTTATATATTGTGGGCAGTAAATAAAGTAAATGCAGGAATAAAACCATCACCTAATATATATGAAGTATATAACATGTTATATATTGTGGGCAATATAACTACACCACACTTCAAGATATAATAAGATGAGTTTTAAGATCACACCATTATTTTTATTACGATAATGTGTTACAATGTGATGGGCAATGAAATTACACCACTATAAAATAACATGATGGGGTATAAAATCGCACCATTCCAAATTATAGTACGAAAAAATAAATTAAACAAACATGAATGAAACAACATAAAAATTGTGAGAATACAAAAAAGAAGGTTTGCATGTCTTTGTAGTAGGAAAGTGATAGGAGACATATGACAGAGAGTAGATAGAGAAATAACCATATAGTATTGAGCTGGGAAAATTTAGAAGTAAAGAGGAGAGATTATCGTGCTGATAATGCCTGTTTTCCTAACTTTTAACTAAATTCCTAGTTATTTTCCTCTGTCTAAATGAAGGGTTAACGTACGGTGCATACTCACAAGGGGTGCCGAATCTGCCTTCATGGCATTGAAATTGAATGAATCCAATGGTTAAATTCAATTCGAAAAGTATGAGAAGAAAGACACAAAGACTTACTTAACGTCAGTCTAAGTTATTAAATCCAAGGTCTCATAATCCAAAATGAAAAACAGTCGAATAAGATCTGCTACAGCGACATTAAGTGAAAACTGAAGCGGGGGGTGAAAAGCAAAAGAAACTACCAGACCACTAGAAATCAAGGGAGGAAAAGAAAAGCAAGAAATCCTGACAGAATCCGAAACTTGCAAAATCAATAGTCCACTGGCTCATCAACCTCAGCGGAAGGAGTCTCAACGATGGCTTGCTCAGCTTCCTGCACCTCCTTCTCGGTCTTCCTTCCCTTCTTGGACTTGTAGTACACACTCATGAAAGTTCCCACAGCACCATACTTCCTCCTGCAGTACTCGTAATGCCCTGCATCAAACATCCTCCAGAAGTTTTTCTCATCCAGCTCAGACACAGCATACTGCGGCTGGAACCCGTGATTTTCAATCAGCCAACTCTCCATCCTGCGAACTGCTTCTGAACCATCAAAAACCTCACCCCTCAACACAGGGCCTGGTGCATAGTAGACCCCAACATCTGTGTACATCTGAGAATAATGCGTGTCTCCCTGTCTGCGATGGTGCTCAAACCCCGGTTCAGTGTATATCATTGTCTTGATGGGACTCTTATACATTCTGTGAGGACAGAGCCAAATGGGGTACACCTATACAGAATCAACAAACAACATGATTAACAAAATGGATTACAGAACAGGCTTTGATTACACTCTACTTTGTTTGCTCATCAAAATGTAAGTATAGAGTCAGAAACTTAGTTAAGAAAATCTTACCTCCATCTCATGGTGAACCCATTCTAAAGCATTCCCAACCTTGTGAAGAGGAACTAGCATGTCTTGAATGACGTGCATGTCATGGTAATAGTTTCTAATGGCTTCACCTTGAGTAGCCTTGAGCAGAGAAATCTTGGGGGGCATCATCCAGCCCAAAAAGAATCTAAACCACCACTGATCAGCAAATGGAAGGATAAGCTTTCCCTCCCAATAGATACTCCGAGTGTGCCTATGGTAATATTCCCTTGTTGGGATATATTCTACAAACTCCCCTTTCTTCAGTGCTTTCTGCGCATGCTGGTAGAACCAGGGTTTAAACCACCACCCAACTTCATTAATCACATTCCCCTTCTTCTTGGCCTCTTCTTTTGATGCATATCTCCCTGTCATGCACACAGCTTCTGTTGGAGTGTATATCATGGTTTCAACAAAGTCTGGAACCTTCTCAGGGTTGTCCTGATCTCCATCTCTGGGAGCAAAAGAATCACTATATGCCTGTGCAATCTCTTGAAGATTGCCCACAACAGGTTTGTATGTCAGCCTCATGTATTCCTTTATCGGTATAAGCTTGATCTCAGCAGAGACTAGAAACCCCAATGTTCCCTGAGACCATGGAATAGCATAGAAAAGATCAGAGTACTCATTATCTTTGGTGGCTCTGACAACTCGACCATCTGCTAGAACTATCTCATAAGCCACAACAGTATCAGAGAATAGTCCATAGATGTGAGAGCTTCCTTCAATTCCATAGCCATTAATGAGCCCACCAACAGTAAGATCATCAAACTCTGCAACCACAGCAAGGGCAAGATTCAATGGAACTGTTACCCTAGTTATCTGCCCCATGTTGACTAATGGCTCAACTTTTGCAATCATTCTCTCTCTATCAATTTCAAGGACATTTCGGAAAGCAGACAAATCAACCTCAAAATGACGAGCACGCTTGTAGTCAACATTTCGCATTCCAACAGCTATCCACGGTTTTCGTGCTGTGCAAACAAGACCATCCTTAGATGGGTTCCTTTCTTTGAGTCGTTTTACAACCTTCTGGACATTTTCATCATGTTCCTTTTGACGCCTCTTGTAGGACTTCATCTCAGATCTTACATCCCCAAGGTATGTGAGAAAGTAAATGGTGAAGGAGATGGGAAGGACAACAAAGATAACAACAATCCATCGAAATTGAACTAGAAAGTCCACAATGGCTGTCTTCCTCTTTGGACGCAGAGGAGTTTCAAGATCAGACATTTTGGGGAGTGAAGGTCTGCTGTACGACAAAACAATTGTTAATAAACAACGTTGTAACAGTTTTATTAACCTTTAGATTTTCATAGATAAATTTACGGGAAGAACCAAATTAAAATTGGTCGGGAGACCAGGAAAAAAGAAAACCTGTCTAGCAAAGCACAATACAAAATAGAGTCTAGAATCCCACATAATAATATGGCATTAAAGCTTATTAGACCATCCTGTCCCAAAAATAGATTCAATAGAATGAATTAAAGCTCTCAGCGAGATGCTCAGGCGATATCCTTCTTAAAAAATCTTTGACCATCTTGTTCAGAAAAACATTTCAAAGAAAAAAGAAAAACTTTTGACAAAATCATTTGTAATCATCAGAAAATTAGGTCATCTATTGAGGGAATATAATACTTTATACAATACACTATTCTGACTATCAGTCAAATACATGCTAATATAATCCTTTTATGATGATTGCAGCAAACCCAAATTTCAATAGTGCGACATGGTGACTTCGATGGAGACCAAAACAGATCAAGGAAGAAAAAAAACAAATCTACTATAACCGAAACATGCATGCAACAAAGATCTTGAACAGAACATTTCCATCTTCTACCAAAAATTCAATGGATCCAGAAACACCCTTCAGATTTAAGTTAGATACAAAAATAAAACATTATCCAACTTCTAGGAGATCCATATGTCAATAGAAACATTTCAGTACTTTAACTGAGAAGTTGTTTTCATGGACCCGGTGGCCCGGTGGCCCGGTGGCCCGGTGGGTGTCAGAATATCAATTCTTTACAGGGGAAAGACACATGAAATGAGACTTTATCTTCTTCAGGTACAGAAAAATAGTAACTTGGTTGAAGAAACCGAAATAAGCCTTACTGAAGAACTAAAATAAAGAGCCTTATTCTCAGCAAAGTTTGAACAAGAGGAGGTTTATTTTATTTTATTTAAATAAATAAAAAACATTTCAGACGGAAAAGATCTACTTCCCTCGTTTTTTTTTAAATAAAAAAAAAACATTGCAGTCTCAGTCTCAAGACTCCGTCTCCCTCGTTTTCTGAGGAACCAAACAGATCTCAGCAAAAAAAAAACACTCAACGGTCTCCGACAGCTTTCACAAACAGTTGCAAAAGTTCGAACAATCCGTGAAAAGTCGAACTGTCTCGACAACGAATCGGCTAAAATCTAGCACAAATCAAAACTCGAGAGAGAGAGAGAGAGAGAGAGAGAGAGAGAGAGAGAGTACCTGAAGCTTAGCTGAGGAGCTAATTGTAAGATGGGAACTGTAGAGGAACCAACATTTAAGGGAAAGCCCCCACAGCCAGAGGTGTCTGCGAGTAAGTGACAGAGTGAGAGTGAGAACGAGAGTGAGGAGCAATATATATTTTCTTTTTGAACGTTTTTTTAGTAAATTATCAGAAGTATGTAGAAATAAAAACGGACAAGGCAACATATATATATATTTTATTATTTTAAATGGACAGATCCAGTCCAGTCCACCAAACAATATCCCACCAACCCAATAAGATTCGCTGGCAGTCACGTATTGGAGTCGCTCACTCTCTCTGGCTCGGCAATCAGTCAGCCAGCCCACCACCATGTGCGGCTGTTCCCATGCCACTCAACTTTTTGTCTTTTTTTATTCTCTCTCTCTCTCTCTCTCTCTCTCTCTCTCTCTCTCTCTCTTTCCTTGGGGCGCGAACCTCTGCCTACCTTTTAATTCGTGCTTATTTTTTGAATTATTTGAGTACTTTACAGCCAATTAATGTTCAACTAAAAAGTACTCGGATTGGATGTTTGACAATTAAGTGTGACTGATAAATAAATAAACAGAATCTAATTTTCTCATAATAAAAAAATTATATAAAAAAAACCCTAATTGAACTAACAGTAATTCAGTGTCGCGGATGCCTAACCAAGAACCCCAGCATCATAGTTTTCAAGCATTTAATTCTACAAATTTTCCTTGTCAATATCAAGACTTGCAAGTTTCCAATAGTAACATGCGTGGTCACGTACTTTTATGGAAGAAAATGCAAGT